CGGCAGACGGTGCCGCGGCTCTCGGAGAAGCACGTGCTGATCACAGGATGTGACAGCGGCTTCGGGAAGCTGCTGGCACGGCAGCTGGACGCGCGCGGGCTGCGGGTGCTGGCCGCCTGCCTGACCGACAGCGGGGCCGCGCAGCTGCGGGCGGCCACCTCCGACCGCCTCCAGACCGTCCTGCTGGATGTCACCTCCAGCAAGAGCATCGCCGATGTCACCGCCTGGGTCCGGGAGCGTGTGGGTGATCAAGGTAGGATGGGGCGGCCCCACTGTTGTCACCCTGTTGTCACCCCACCGGCCCCTCTTCCACCTCGCCCACCTGTGCCTGCACAGGCGAGGTGGTGCGGGGCCCTGGGACAGCCCCAGCTCATGCCATCCCCTCTCCAGGGCTCTGGGGGCTGGTGAACAACGCTGGGATCGTCATCCCCACCGGCCCAAACGAGTGGCTGACCAAAGAGGACTTTGTCAAGGTGCTGGATGTGAACCTGCTTGGGCTCGTGGAGGTGACACTGAGCCTCCTGCCGCTGCTGCGGCGGGCGCGGGGCCGCGTGGTCAACGTGGCCAGCGTGATGGGCCGTGTGTCCTTCTTTGGTGGTGGGTACTGCATCTCCAAGTACGGCGTGGAGGCTTTCTCTGACAGCCTCAGGTACGGCACTGGCAGCCCCCGGAGCTCCCCCGTGCTCGTCCAGCAGCCCCGGCGTTACCCCGCTGTCCTCACACAGGGTTTTATGCATCTCCCCATCACATTTTCCCCAGAGAGCTTGAGAAACGCTGAGCACAAGCGGGCTGGGAGCGTGGGCAGGGCTGGAGCCCTGGGTGTGCAACCAGGGGAAGGGTTTCAAGGAGCTCTGGAGCAAAGCACTAGAGGGATCCTGGGGCAGGGGGGATGGATTGGTCTGGGTGGTCCTGAGGTTCCAGGGTGTCCCAGGGTGCGGGGTTTAGGAGTCCAGGGGAGTCCTGGGGCGCTGAGATTGGGGGAGACCCCGGGATCCGGGAATGCTCTGGGGTCTGGGGTGGTCCCGAGGCGCTGAAGTTCAGGGGGATTCCAGGATCCCGGGTTCCAGATGAGTCCTGGAGCGCTGAGGTCTGGGGATGTCTCAGGATGCAAGAGGGTCCCTGGAGCAAGGACATCCCCTGTTCCCATGAGGGGATGCCTGGGGGTGTCATGAGTTCCCCTCGCTCCCTCCTGGTCTCTGCCCTCCTCGGGGCTCCCCCTGATGCCCCCACCCTGGGCAGGCGGGAGATGCGTCCCTTCGGGGTGCAGGTCTCCATCATCGAACCTGGAGGCTTCCAGACGGGAATTACCGACCCCGCATCGCTGGGAAAGGTCTTCTTTCACCTCTGGGAGCGGCTCCCGGCAGAAACCCAGGCAGCCTACGGCCACCACTACCCGGACAAATGTGAGTCCATCCCCACACCTCACCATCACCCCCGGTGACCCCAGCTCCATGGGGCTGACCCCTTTCTGCCCACCCAGATGCCAAGAGCACCACGGTTCTTGCACGCCTGAGCAGCTCTCGGCTGTCGCGTGTCACCGATGCCATGACACACGCTCTGCTCTCCCGCTGCCCCCGCAGCCGCTACGCCGCCGGCTGGGATGCCCGGCTCATCTTCCTGCCCCTCAGCTACTGCCCGGCCTGGCTGTCCGACACCATCGCTGGCTTCTTCCTGCCCATCCCGGCCAATGGGACCCCCTGATGGGGACCACCAGGGCGGGGACATGGACAGGGCGGGTCCGTGGGTGCCTCACGCCCTTGCGAAGTGCTCAATAAAGGTGGTGCAATGCTGGGTCTTCGGCCTCGGAGGTGTCCGGTGGCCACTTGGCCACGGTGCTGGTGACCCATCCCACCGAGGGGTCCCGTGGCAGCATCCCGGCTGCTGCCTGCTCCCAGAGCAGCCGCGTATCCCGGAATCCCACGGCTCGGCTGGCAGGGAACGAGCTGGGAAAGGCAGAGCGGAATTTATCCATCCTCTGGGCACGGCGTATCCAGGGATGGCCCGGCTGAGCTGCCAGGCAACCGGGAAAAGCCGCGCGGTGTTTATCCATCCCCTGGGCTCGTGGGCGGTGATCTCTGCGTCACTCATCGAGCTAATTAAGAGCTGATTAGCGATCACTAGCTGAGGGGCAGGCATCTGAGGCTGTGCACTTGCCTGCGGGACCAGCTCAGCGCTAGCGCTCCCCCCAGCTCTGGCAGAGCCAGGGACAGCTGGACCGCGACCCCCGAGATGCGACGGGGAGGGCGAGAGCGATGAGGAGGACCTGGGACCTTGCACAAGCTGCGTTCAGCTCGCCGAGCTGCTTCCCCAGCCAAGGAGGCTTCTCCGAAGTGTTTTCTTTGGCTTGGAAAGAGCTTAGAAAGCGCTTTCTTTGGCAACCCCGGCAGCCCCCGCACATCGCGTTCGGGGCCCGCGTGTCCCCAGGGGCCGGGATGAGGCGTGCCGAGCCCCCGGGAGCACTGCCCGAGGAGGGAAGAACGGCAGATCCCACCTCTCCTGACCCTGAGGGAGGCTGAGGGCTCCTGGGCACACATTTGGGCTACTGAGAGCCTTCGGGCTCATTGCAGGGATGGGCAGATGGGACAGAGCCGCCTGTCCCAGCCCCGCGGCTCAGCCGGCTCCCAGATCTCTCACTGCTCCCACCAAGATCAGCAGCCTCTGCACAATCCTTGACGGCTCCCAGATCCTGCTCAGCCCCAGAGTCCGGTGTGGAAATTCCCTGACCTGTTAAATAGAACCAGCAGAGCATTGCTTGCCCCAAATCCCCCCAAGCCCGCGGTGGCAGAGCGGCCCCTCACCACCCCCACGGCCCCAGCTGAGCCAAAATGTGCCCGGGGCCAGCACGAAGCTGCCGAGTTCCTGTTTAGAAGCCGGTCCTGCCGGGGTTGGTACCTGCACACGGGGTCACCAGCTCTGGGCTTGTTGTTGTGAGCCCCGACTTATCAGTGCCCTTGTGCTTCCCCGCTTCCCATGCCTTCCTTCCGAGCCAATTGTTGATCCCGCAGTCTTGTCCGCACTGAAAAAAAGGAGATTTCCTGCAATTGTTTCGCAGGACTTGCAGCCCGATGCAAATTTTTTTGCCTATCAGCCCCCTCCCCAGCGCCGGGGCAAGGCTTGAGCCCCCTCGCTTCCCCTGCCAGAGCGCGGGGCAATCACGGCTCGGTGATTAATTACTGCCTGGCCAGAGGTGCTTCTCTGGCGACATCCATCTGCCATCGGCTCCTGCGGGAGCGCTGCCCGGGCAGAGAGTTCAGCTTTCAGCCCTTTTCCCCCGAAGAGAATCCTGAGCTCACCCTGATATCGAGGGACAGCTTTGGCAGCTTTGTTATAACCCACCCCAGTCCCTCAGGATTCCCAGTGCTGCGGCAGGACCTGGGATATATTTTTCCTACAGAAGGATCCAGGCAGGATCCAGCCCCTGAGCCCAGTGGGGTGACAGTGGAGGGGTCGCTCGGGAAGCCTCGGGGACCCCCATCCATCCCCAGGCATCACCTGCGGCTTCCACACCGACACCTGCCCGGAGCCTCGCGGCTCCCGTCCCCACCCTGCGGCGAAATCAAATGGGAGCCGAGTTCTGGGGCTGGAAATGCAGTCAAATGTCACCCGCGCTGGGCTGTCTCAGGATGTTGCACCACCATGGTCATTTCCTGCCCCGCAAGCGGCCACCGAACCCACCCGAGCTCCGTGCCCAGAGGCGCTTGAGCTGCCGAGCCCAGAGGATCCCCGCGCTCCCGAGCAGCCCCCGCGCAGCCCTCGCTCGGCCGCCGGTGAGCCAGGACCGTCCCTCCTCCCTCCTGTCCCTTCTCCTGTCCGTCTGTCCCCTTTACCAAGCGTCTGTCCCCTCTCCCATCCGTCTGTCCCTTCTCCCGTTTGTCTGTCCCTGGTCCTGTCCGCCTGTCCCTTCCTCCGTCCTTTACCATCCATCTGTCCCCTCTCCCATCTCTCTGTCCCCTTCTCCTGTCCATCTGTCCCCTCTGCCGTCTCTCTGTCCCTTCTCCTGTCCATCTGTCGCCTCTCCCGTCCGTCTGTCCGGTTTTCCATCTGTCTCTCCCGGCTCCCCGCGGCTCTGGGGACCTGCAGCGCAGAGAGCTCGGCATGTCCAGGAGCCCTGGGGGCGGCAGGTCCAGCCTCTCCCTGCTTTCGGGGCCGGTTGGTGTCAGCCTGGGTGGGTGCCACAGGCGTGACGCTCTCACGGGGGACACCCGGCTGTGGTCCCGGCTTGCCGGGCTCCGAGTGAAGCGGGAAGATCCCTCTGGAAGCTCCCGCAGCATTCCCAAGGGATCGGCTGCTCCTGAGCGGGGTCCGCAGCGTCTTCGCTGTGCGGATGCAGCTGCGCTGGGATCGGAGCTCACTTAGGGCAATAAGAGGATGTTCAGGTCAACTGCATTTCCCTGAAATTTATAATTTTCTCACCTACTTGGACGTCCCGATGGCTCCCGGCAGAGTGAGAGCGGCTGGCAAGTGACCACACCCCGGGGGCTCGGGTGGGAGCGGCGGCTTTCCCGCTGGAGCAGAGTCTCTGGGACAGAGTCACCGGCACCTGGCTGTGTCCCAGGCTCTGGGACAGGGAGCAGCCACCACATGTGGTGACCCTCGTTTGTGGCATTTATCCTGGGATGTGACAGGATCGCCTGGGTGGACACAGCATCTTTTGAGGGTTGATGTAGGGAGTCACCGAGGGAGTAAAACATGGGTTAGAAGACCCCAGAAGGATCTTTTTGAGCCCCACACTAGGGCTCTGTGTTTCAGGCTTCACAGCTCAGTGCTCTCCCTTTCCCTGCAGCCACCAGGATGACCGAGGTGACCACTGTCCCCACGGAGACACGCACTGTCCCGAGCGAGTACGCGGACTACCACAACCTCTCTGAGCTGTTCTACCTCCTGAACCACACCTACACCTACTGTGAGTTCAGCCTGGATGAGAATGTCAAGAGGGTGATTCTCTTCATCCTCTACCTGGTCATCTTCGTGGTGGGCTTGGTGGAGAACCTCCTGGTTATCTGGGTCAACTGGCAGACCCGGGGCAACAAGAGCTTGGTCAACCTGTACATCATCAACATGGCCATCGCTGACCTCGGGGTGCTGCTCTCGCTGCCCGTCTGGATGCTGGAGGTGATGCTGGATTACACCTGGCTCTGGGGCAGCTTCCTCTGCCGCTTCACCCACTACTTCTACTTTGCCAACATGTACGCCAGCATCTTCTTCCTCACCTGCCTGAGCGTGGATCGCTACGTGACCCTGAGCAGCTCCTCCCCGTTCTGGCACCGGCACCAGCACCGCGCGCGCCGTGCGGTCTGCGCCTGCAGCTGGCTCCTGGCCGCTGCCATCCCCGTGGTGGAGGTGACTCACATGCAGCTGGTCAACACCGGGGAGCCCATCTGCATCTTCATGGCCCCCTTCGAGACCTACGACGAGTGGGCGCTGGCGGTCAGCTTGGCCACCACCACCATCGGCTTCCTCATCCCCTTCCCCGTCATGGCGGTGTTCAACGTGCTGACGGCGCGCTTCGTCCGGCGCACCAAGCCCGAGAGCCGCAAGCACTGCCTGCTCATCTACGCCTACATCGGGGTGTTCCTGCTCAGCTGGCTGCCCTTCCACGTGGTGCTGACGCTGCTCACCCTCGAGGGCAACCACATCATCCTGAACTGCACCTTTGCCCACCTCCTCTACTTCTTCTACGACGTCATAGACTGCTTCACGCTGCTCCACTGCGTCATCAACCCCATCCTCTACAACTTCCTCAGCAAGAACTTCCGCAGCAAACTCATCTCCGCCGTGGTCAAGTACATCCCAAAGGACCACGGTGGCCAGAAGGGCGCCGGCAGCTCCTCCTCCAGCACGCAGCACTCCATAGTCATCGCCAAGGACAACAGCCCTCCCAACTAAAGGGGGTCGGACTCTCCCAGCCTCCGTCGTGGTGGCTCTTTGGGGACAGTGGCATCGGTTTTCCTGTTGCTGAGGACACAATTTGCTCTGGCACGGCCCTTCTTGGCTGGGCACCTCCCGCGGCAGGATGAGGTGCGAGGTTTGAGGAGAGTTGGGAGCTATGGACATCTTGCCTCTGGGGTGCTGCTGTGTCCAAACTAAAGAAAGGATAAAATTATATTCCCTGTTTGACAAGTGAAATAATAAAGCCTGTTACTCCACTCAGTGTCTGACACGAGCCAGCCCCAAGATCAGATCAGATCAGATCCTGCCCCAAGCCATGGGGTGGAGAGCACGATCTGCCCCATCTCAGGTGTTCCTGCACCCCCAAACTGTCCCTGACCCCCAGCCCCAGGCACGGCACTGCCTGGTGAGTGCCATCCCGAGAGAGAGAGAAGGAATCATTCCTTGGGGACACAAACCTCCCCTCGCTGTGCCCAGCAACATCCAGAGCCTGATTTTTGAGAGATGAAGGGGAAGCAGCCCAAGGAGCTGAGCAGGGCACAGACCTGAGGGGAGGAACAATTTGGATTCCACATCAGCCACTCCTTCAGAACAATTTTGCAAACCCAGTGGTAAATTAGAGATGGCTAAACTGGGTTTGACTGGTAAGGGCTGCTCCAGATTGACTCTGGGTTCCCCATCCTGTTAACTCCAGCCTCCTCTGGAGCATCCCCTGGCAGGTTTTTGTGGCCACTGGGTGCATTTCTCAACCCCACCAGGCTCCAACAGCCCCTTCCCCTTCCACCAAAGCCCCTGTGGCAGCACAGGCACGTGCAGAAAACCTTGGAGCTGGAGCACGGGCTGGGCTTGTGCTGTGCAAGGAGCTGGAGCATCCGGAGAAAGTTCATTCTTATCTGGATCCTGA